AGAGAGATTTACATGTCTCTCTTTCCATTTATCCATACAAAGATAGATTAGGAACCCCAAACAAATGAGATAAATGTTACCGGCCGCAAATAAACCAACTTCTCAACGGTCGTAGCCATCCCATCAAAGCCGTATCACCCCCCATTTCCAAATTCCACTACCTCCTCTCTATCCCTCCTTCTTTTTCTTCTTTATCCCACTTTCTCTCTCTCCCTCTCTCTCCCTCTCTCTACAAGCACGAGCACCGAAAGAAAGAAAGAAAGAAAAAAACAAATTACCCCACTCACAACTCACAGTTAAGATTAAGCAATATAATTAATATTCTAAATACCCAGTACTAATTACCCTATGAATGAAAAGACACGAGTGTTTGATAGCTGTTTCTTGGGTTTGCTTCTGTCTCGCTTCCATAGCCGCGGGCCCAAACTATGAGGGGACCCAAGGGTCTTGGTCGTAAGAGGAGATCATCACCCCGCGACGTCGTTTCTTGGAGCACGCTCTTCTGGTGCACCCTCTTCGTCGTCATCAACTGCGCCCTCTTCTCTGGCTTCAGCTTCTACGCTTTCCGCTTCCTCTTCGGAAGTACGTTTTTAATTACTCTTCTTTTATCATTAATTATTATTTCTACATGTTTTCCATTTTAATTAATGAATGATTTATTCTTATTACTACAGAAACGTTTCAACCAGTCCTGGTGCTAACATGGCCAGCTCCATCCAACAAACCCATCTCCCCCATCACCATTTCAGTTCGAGAAGTCGTTATGTTTCCAGATCAGGCGCTCGTTTTCCTAAATCATTACCCTCGTACCGCTCATGTATTTACCAAAGACGACCTCCACTGCGTTTACTTCTCAGCCAACGACTCCTCGCGGTCCCAGCCTCGCTTCAATCAGCCTCCCATCGACATAGATGGCGGGGATTTTCATAATCAGATCGTCCGGTGCCCGCTCCCGCCACGTCGCCTCACCTTGTCGGTAGGCTTGAAACACAACGACGACGTTCCGGTGGTGCCCTCGTACAGCTGGGACTGGCTCGCCTACGACGCCCTCGTCGACCGCGACAACACCACGATCGTGTTCGTCAAAGGTCTCAACCTTCGGCGCGAAAGAATTTCCAACACAGCAAAATTCGAGTGCGTCTACGGCTGGGATTTCAGAACGACGAGGTTTCTATTGAGATCGGACGTCGTATCGATCGCCCAGGAGATCGTACGGTGCAAAACCCCACTGAGTGTGCTAAGTTTCCCGCGCGGGCCCAACAATACCGTGAAGGTCTCCGTCAGAGTGAAAGGCGGTGGAGCAAAGGGAATATTAGACACCATAGCCCGCCCCGCGATCCGACCCGGACTCGCCAACCCGACCCATCGGAAGGAGCACGAGATGTGCTTGTGCTCGATGGTGCGGAATCAGGGTCGGTTCTTGAAGGAGTGGGTCATGTACCACGCCCAAATGGGGGTGCAGCGTTGGTTCCTGTACGACAACAATAGCGACGACGACAGTGATGTCGTAATTGAGTGGCTACGGAGAGCGAATTACAATGTGACGAGACACGCGTGGCCTTGGCTCAAGACCCAGGAGGCCGGGTTCGCCCATTGCGCGTTACGGGCCCGCGAGACGTGCCAATGGGTTGGGTTCATAGACGTAGACGAGTTCTTCCATTTGCCTTCGGGCCTATTGCTGCCCGACGTGCTGCGCAATCAGTCCAATTATGACTATGTCGGCGAGATCCGGGCCTCGTGCTACAGTTTTGGGCCTTCGGGCCTCAGACGAGTTCCTGTGCAAGGCGTCACGGTCGGGTACACGTGTCGGTTGGCTGCCCCCGAGAGGCACAAGAGTATTGTTAGGCCGGAGGCATTGAACTCAACATTGATCAATGTGGTGCACCATTTTCATCTTAGGAACGGGTATGAGCCTGTGAATGTGGATAAGGGAGTGTTGGTTATAAATCACTACAAGTACCAAGTGTGGGAGGTGTTTAAGGAGAAATTTTACAGGAGAGTGGCGACTTACGTGGCAGATTGGCAGGAGGAACAAAATGTGGGGTCTAAGGATCGGGCCCCGGGATTGGGGACGAGAGCGGTGGAGCCACGAGATTGGTCACATAGATTTTGTGAGGTTAGGGACAGTGGGCTTAGAGATCGGGTGCTGCAGAGTTTTGTTGATCCGCAGAGCCATCTATTGCCATGGCAAGAGGAGGGTGGTGATGGAGTGGTACAAGTGCAAAAACAGCAAAAGGTTATTAAGAGAAGTGTGATGATGATGAGAAAGATAAGAGCAAGGAGAAAGCATAGAGTTTTCTTATGAGTTTTGTTAGAGAAATGGCGGTAATTTCTTAGGTGGGTTAGTTTGTTTCTCCATTTATTACTTTGTACAGAGGATTAATCACACGATTTAGGGCATAGTGTGTGCCATATTGTATATGCATCTCCACATATATTTTTTTTGTTTTTGTTTTTTGTTTTGGAAAATATTGCTGACTATACTCTTGTGTCCATTCACTAATGTATACATTGAATTTATTAGACACTTGACTTGTATCAATTTGGTATAGCCGTTGGAAATTCAAAAACAACATATGATTCAAAAAATTTGACCGTTAGCACTAAACCCATCCCATCTCTCTACACGTCATTTTCCTTCTGTGTTCTCTCTCCTACGCTTTTCTTCTCCGCAAAAGACGAACATTCCCCTTTCATTCTGTTCCGCCCAAAAAACAACCAGAGATGGCGAGGCAACAAGAAGAGCCGAAACAGAGTCCAAGAGACCCAAAAGTACGAGCGAGAGAGTCGTCGGATCCGGTTAAAGTTGTGAGCAATGGCACAAGCGGAGACTCTAGCATGTTCAGCCCCAGATTCAAATCCGTGGCTGCCATGGCCGGTTGGGACGAAGAGAGTCTTCTAATCGCAAGCCTTGTGGTCGATGATACGCCTGAGCGACAAGTTAAATACAAGAAGCGTTCTGATCTGCACTTCAAGACCCCACCAACCAATTCATCAAGAAGGTTTCAAATAATCCTCCAATCTTCTTGAAATGTTTTTTTTTCTCTTTAAATTGATAATCTTTTTTAGTTTCTTGTTTTGTACAAGATTTAATTTTTATTTGTTTCAGAAAGCGCCGAGCTCAGAGAAGGAGCCCAATTTCAATGTCTGTTTCTGTTCTCAACCTTGATGATGACGAAGAAACTAAAAAAGATGGTGTGGAAAGCCTGTACCTTTCGTTCGGAAATTTCCTTCTTTATTTATTTTTCTGAAATTTTGTATGACCCTCCTTTCATTTTCATGTGGGTATATTTGTTGTTCACAGAGAGTGGAAAAGAGAAGGAAGAACCGCAAATTATTGTGAACAAGGAAAAGGAAACAGGGGATGACAAAATGGCTGAGAGCTCTGGTGTTTCTTGCCCACCAAGTTCAAATCTTCCTTGCTTGGATAAGCTTAGGGATGAGCTTTCTTGCGCTGTAAGACCCTTCTGATCTGCATCTCGTTCGCAATTTTGATATTGGTGTATTCAAAAGCAAAAGGGTTTTCGTTATTTTTACAAAATGGGTATCATGTACTCCGCAGATCTGCTTGGAGATTTGCTTTGAACCCAGTACTACTCCCTGTGGACACAGGTATTAATTTCAAAATCAACTAAGCATAGCCTAAAGTTCACGTTTTTTTGGATCTTATTGCGATTTGAATCATATGTCTATCGACTTTGAATTTCTTATTGGTACTTGAACACACTTTATAAGAAATTATTTCACCTTCTTTTAGTCAAAAACAAGGATCACTTTGTTTTGATTACTAGAACTGTTTGATTGTAGTTTCTGTAAGAAATGCTTGCGGTCTGCTGCTGACAAATGTGGGAAGAGGTGCCCCAAGTGCAGGCAGCTAATGACGTATGTTTCATCCATAATCCCAAGCTATTTGGCTAATCAGCTAATGTTAAAAAATGGGGGTTGACATTAGTGCAATGCACTTTTGGGTTTATCTCTATCTTTCTTGAACATTTTGCAGCCATAGTAGATCCTGCACAGTCAACACGGTTCTTTGGAACACAATACAGCTTCTGTTTCCACAAGAAGTTGAAGCAAGGAAAGCTGCTGGAGCCTTAAATAGTAGTGGAGAAGCTGTGCGTCAAATCCCCGAAAAGGCGTTTTATAATACAAGGAGTGTTCAAAGTAGAAGGGCATCATCAGGGGTATCAAGCAACAGAGAAATGACCATGAGGAGAAGAAGGGTAATATTAAGCCAAGATGAAGAGGATGATGATGCTGCACTAGCAATAAGGTTAGTACAGAACACAGAAGCTGAGCATCAAAACCCAGAACAAGGTGCTTATAATAATCATAGAAGTATTCGGCCTTTAAGGGCATCAAGTAGTAGACGGATCCCAAGCCAAGATGGGGATGCTGCATTAGCTCTAAGGTTACAGAGAGAGGAGTTTATGGAGGCTTTTAGGGTCAATCATGGTCAATCTGGCAGCTCTCTTTCCTTGGCTCGAGCAAACCTGAGAGCCATGACATCTAGAGCCACTAGCCATCGTGCTACAACCCGACATTTGTAGTCTATTTGCTCATCCATTGATTTTGTTTTTGTTGTTTCTTCTTTGGTTGAAAATTGTGTTCATTCAATATATTGGTTGAATAATGTTTTCATACAATATACACAGTTCTTTCAACTTCTTTTTTCATAACAGAAAGGTCCCTAAACGGAATGAAAAAGAGCCAGAAACCTTGGCATGGAAGACAAGAATTAAAAGGCATAATACTTTTATATTAAAGCATACTGAGGCTAATTGAAAGTTGCGGGGCAATTCATCCTCGAATCATCAAAAATATCTGTTAGGAAGAGCTTTTTCAGTGGAAGGTTTTCTAGTTAGGTTATTTTCAAGGTTACAGACATCCGACTTTAGGTTGAAATATTCGATAATCCATTTTTCGACAAATAAATTCTTTTGAACATAATAACTCATGGCCAACTAATTTGTCAAATACAACCAAAAATTTTGAATGTTGAATTCCCCAATCTGTGTTTCTTCCATGAACACGCTACACTAATATCCAAGAGTAAGGCAAACTAGTCTTTCTCATTAGACCTCCAAACAGGAGCCTCAAAAACATCTCAATCGTGTACGGGAAGCAAACAAACAAACAAAAAAAAACCACCCCGACCTAAAAAAAAAGGGGGGCCATCTTATAAATGTCACAACACAATCTTCGTTTCATATTGCATGTTACACCTCCGAACAGGGTCGCTTGCTTGCGTGTGACGGTTCTGATTGCAAAACTGTGGTTACTGGAGTCATGTACACAGCACATCCCACCCTCGTAGACAACTTGCATACACTCATGACCTGTATTTGTACAAGGGGCCTTACAGAAGACTTGGACACTTGGTAAATGTATGTGTTTCTAGCGAAGTCAATGCCTGTGAGAGTGCTTTCGGCTACCAAAATGGGCCTCTCCCTTTTCTCTGTTCCATCTTTGTAAGATCATCAAGGCAAAGGAAGTAAAGCCTATAGCAGTCATAGCATAAAATACTCTAAATGGAGCCAAGGCCAGGGAAGAGAGATAAGAATAGTATCCAGCTACCAGGTACATAAAGTTCAACCTCACTTCAAGATTTCGGACGCCAGGTAAAGAAACTAAGAAGGAATTGAACTCGGGCTTTGAAGTGAAGATACCATGAAGAATCACACCTGTGCAAAGAGCTGAATCCACGAGCCATGGAAAGCTATGACCCATCCCTATTCTCTGCAACCAGAAAGAATGTCCTTTTGTAAGTTTATAATGGAAATTTTTATTATAAAATAGATAACATTTCTAGAGAGACCAGAAAGATAATTGATATAATTACTGTACCTGAAACCAAGCAACTAGTGATGGGACAAACATGAGCGCTGCAGCAAGATGCAAAATAAACAACCCATGCCGATGATGGAATATCTCTAATTGCGCTTCACCAAAACTTTTTGAAGAGTCTGGACTATTGGAGCAGCAATCTCCATCACTTTTGAAGGGAAGGTGGGGAGAACCATCATTGCCTTCTTTTTTACAATCAAATAATTCATGTCTTTGTGCATGGCTGCGAAATGAAGCTGTCAAAAAACTGTTACACAGACATAAAGCAACTCTTAGGATCATTTTTATCACACATACCCTGAAGGTAATGCAACACATGAAGCTTTACATATTATCTATCAACAAGCAACGACAATAATAATAGGGGAAAAAAAAAACTACATGCAATAAAAGGACAGCAAGTGCATGGCTTTGTGCACCATTCCCGTCAAAGTCCAACAGAATCAAAGTGCTGACATACCTGCAAAGTGCACTGTGACAGCACAAAGCATCCAAGGACAAGATTATAAATAGGCCAAACGCTGCATGAACCAAGCACACCAGAGCAATTGCAGCAAGTGCTGTAACAAGTAGTGGATTGGCTCTTACAACTCTTAACACCTGTTCATGAAAGAATCACATGATAGTGAATGAGTTAACTTGTCAACCTTTTCCCAGAGGACATGAAGGAAATAAAGATACTTGAGCAACTAACGATTACATTTATACCACAGGATAAAGTTTACCTTCAATGAAAAGAAACTAGAGGAAAGATTAATAAACCGGTTAGCACCTTTTTCCCACAATTGAAACCTGCAACATAATAGTTCCTGTCATTCAGCACATTAACCAGTGAACATGTACATACATCTATACATAAATATACGCCATTCAAACAGTAATAAAGAGCTGTTTGAACAGCCATACAATGTTTCCCCCATTCTGACGACGGGTTGATGACTTTAGGTTGGAGTTTAGAACGGACTGGCCGAGAATACACACAAGCCAATCGATTTTCAAATCATCGATAGTAAATAAAGAATGGTTGAGAGAGCCTACTAACCTTGTCTTGATGAAAATATGTACAACAGCAGCCGCATAGAAGATGGATTGAGATATCAAAATCAGAATAATTACGAAGCCATTAGCAAGTAAATAACAGATCACCGAGACAATGGTGAAGCTAGCAAATGAAGGAAATGGTTGAGAAATCCAAAAGGTGAGGACAAAAGAAAGCAAGATGGGTGCCATGGCAAGGTAGAGAAATGGCAATGGGATTCTCAAATTAGATTCCACAGCCATGAGAATTGAAGGTATGGGCAGGTCAAGATCCCATGCATGTGTTTGCTGCATTAGCGCAAAAAAGATAACAACAAGGGCGAAACCAACAATCTGCAAGAGAGCAATACCATCACATGATCAATAAACTAAATAAGAAGCATACCTCTTTTCCACAAGAAAATATATTAAACAATAAGGAAAAGCTTTATTAACCATGAGAGGGAGACACACAGGATAGCCTTCAAAGCACCAACAAAAATGAAAATAAAATGAAAATACAGAATAGGGATTCTAGCTCTAGTGGTAGAGAAAATTAAACCCCACACCCAAGGCCAAAGTTTAATCCTCCTCCTTCTCCTCCTTTGTACCAAACAAAGAAAAAGGAAAG